TAGATTATCAATTAACAAAATCCTGTATTTATATACAATCAAGGCAATCCCCGACGTATCCTTGAGATAGAGGAACAATGTAACAATAGAAACAGCCTATTAGTTGTGTATTTGTCTTTGTTTTCCTTCTTTCTATAGCGGTATCCATAGTAGCAGTGATTGGTTCGGCAATCATTCTATAAAAGGCACATATATAAGTTGCATTCTTCATACAAATTTAGAATCAGATACAGCAGAGTAAAAATTACAGCATACAGCTCTTTTGTCCTTCTTATTTCAGATACTCTTGAAGCAACTGAACCGATTAAAATTTTCACCATACCTTTCTTTAGTTAGTGATGCAATGTATATGATGCCATGTCGTCACTATGGAAGCAATGGGAAAGTTTAGCCAATCAGCTCGGGCCGGTCATATTACATGTGTCATAAAACTGATAGAGATTACGTTTGAATGTTTTATATATTTTTGAAATGGTCATTTTACTGGTGATTGTTGCTCAGGAGTACATACAATAAATCATCTACATGTCCTCAAGTATGCAGACGTACATTGTTCAACTTGTTAAATAAATAAAATGATACATTTAATTAAATTCAGGTATGTCACATCAAGTTGTAAACACAACTGTATATTTTTTTTGAAATCAATTAAAGGTGACGTCGGTTAAGAGGCATTGGTTGTGGCTTGGAGCATTTTCGCGTATAATTTAATGCTATTTATGAACATGCTGACGAATATATTATATCAACTACCGTCACGGAGGTCATGAATGTCAGCAAATCATCAGCTGAGACGTTTTGTAGAACGTGACCAACTGTCCATTGCAGATGAGACTTTCTGATGATAAAATCTGCCGATTCTTACATTTATGCCTGTTTATCGTATCAAACTATGAAGTTCATTAGACTGGTATTCGTTGTGATCACACTTACGTACTCTTTGAACAGATAAATCTATAAATCGAAAAAGAGAAAGATAATGACTATTTTATCACACATTTTTCAAGATTATCAATTAAATTATTGTCATTTTGATTTTTCTCAGTCGTCTCCCAGGTTTTAAAATTTAGGCTATTAACAACACTTTTAAGTTTATGTGATAAACTTAATCTTATGGTTGATTTCAAGGATTAATGAGAAATGAGAAACCTCTCACGAAGTACCGTAAAATGAAAAAAGAGCAGACTTATTTACCGCAGTTTTAAGATATTTTCATAATGCATGTTGAAACCTTTCAATCGGGTTTTTCTGTCCTATAGTTGATATCCTACGATATACTACAGCGTTATCAGCGTTACACTTTGGAGTTTCCTCCGTCATCAAAGAAGCTTCAATATTTTTACCCTTAGCATCACTGACGATTCCTAGATGAACGAAATAGCTGTATGATGCAGTTAACAAACAATACTAGTGGACCTCGAGGTTTGTCGTAACCCCAATGCTTGAAGCTGTTCTTAAATTATCTGATGTATGAAAAATGGGAAATTTATCTAATTTAGTGGCTGCTGTCCTTTCCAAACTACATTTTGACTGTTTTTGCAATCACTTTGGATATTTTCCTCAGTCGTCTCCTATGCTTCAAAATTTGGATCCAGAGCATCACTGACGAGCCCTAGGAGGACAAAACAGCCGTATGATGCAGGTTAATTCATCGGGGTTTTTTTTTCTTTGCTGTATCAACTCTAAATTATTAAAAGATGCCATTCACTTAAGTGTCTTTTGCACAATCTAAGAATGCATGCGTAATATTGACAAATGAGCTATATTGCCAAAATGTTTAGTCATGTCAGTGATAACTTACACTTCAAAGACATGCATAATGTTTGCATTGATTTAACAGGATGCTACTCCAGTACACAGCGTGGCACTCACGCTTTTTATTTTCGTTTATACAAACCTATTTCGCACTTTCAATAGTGTTATTATAGAATACAGGGCATTGTCGCCACTTTATTTTATTTATGCCATGTACACATTTGTGTGTCCGCCTTCCAAATATACAAATATACTTATTTACCTTTCTAATATAAATATTATGATAATTGTCTAAATTTGTATAATTCATACGGTTTAGGGCAGATTGTATCTATAATGCTTTGGTAAAAAATGTAGATTAATTCGCTGTTACCCTAAGGTCAGTTTGATCCGAAAATAATATTACAGTATGCAGTAGCATTAGCATTTAGACCTGATGTAGGAATTTGAAACAAAACTTTCTATCTTGTTACAGAAAGCAGACCATGGATATTGAATAGAAAATGCAGTTAGGAATATCATTAAAATATGCATTAATAAATGTATTATTTTATATTTAAAATTATTTTTTATATATCTATTGAATTTAATCGCAAACGAATGAAGATGTGAGCTAATTATTTGATGTATAGAAATCGACGTAGACAATAGTATATATGACCTACCTTACATTACCGTGACTTCTGTAGTGCATTCCCTTGATTCACATCATACGTCGGTGATGTTTCTACTCACACACAACTCCTAACGCCCTGGCCAATACACCAACGGTGATTCACATGTGACACTGATGGTATATTGTATATATAATAGGGACTGCGTCATACTTCGAGATATATACCGTACTGAACCGAAGATGACCGAGTATTTACTATAATTTCACGAAGTCAATTTGCAGCAACAATCACGTTTATGGTATTGTAGTTATATTTGTTTTTATCGATAACTATCATTTTCTGATCTTTAGCTTTTTTGTCACATTAAATTCTTTAATACGATTATCGCAATGTGAAACGAAAATGTATATAATATAAAATCTCTAAATTTTGACCCAAGTCTGCGCAGTTTGTCGTAACTTGCGTTCTACGCTTCAACTTCTTCGAATAGAGATATATGACAATATCGATATTTATTGAATCATTAAGGGCTACTGCGCTTCCCAATATAGAATATGACTTCACTTTTAAAATGGAGGCATTCACCAATCACGATTCATAGAATGACGAAACAGCACTACAATGTATATGTAAATTCTGACCCGTGCCACTACTCGAATGAATTAAGACGTGGCATGCGATACAAATTTAGAAAATACAATGTTGTCCAATATTGCATTAGATTGCATTGTACACTTGTTTCGTCCTTCTAGGACTTTTTTTGATGAATTTACAATTGTTTCGTCCTTCAAGGACTTGTCTTTGATGATATATTGTTGTAACAAACAGCAAATAGTGAATTAAATATACAATTGTTTCGTCCTTGTAGAACTTGTCTTTGATGATAAATTGTTGTAACAAAGGTGGCGACATAAAACGTGTCGACATATTTTAAGGCAGATGGCGAAATGCACACAAGATTAAAAATAAATATTGGATGATTGCACAAAAAAGTCGGGTATTTGTATATGCTGAATTGTGCCCTAGTGTCATAAATTTTGAGTTTCAATTAAGATTCAATCAATTGTTCCATATTATTAGTATAGAATATGTAGGTTCACCGTGACATGCAGGCTCCGTGTAATCTTTCTGTTTTCACATTTAGCCCACGTTTTCGTCGGTTTTTTATTTGAGTTATGATCTGATAATCATTTTAGTGTATTATTTCTGTTTGTGTTGATTGGTCTTTTATAATTCCTTAAGGCATATGTGGTTGTTTCTATGTTTTTAAAGCATTTTAATTATGCGATGATAAAAAATTACCCAGCTAGGTATTGATTTATAATCTTGTACAAAATATAAAGAAGTGAAAAGCACCTTTTGACAATTAACAATTAGACAGAGTAGAGCCAAACCATGAATTAAACTGCATCATACAGCTGTTTTTTCCTTCTAGAACTCGTCAGTGATGCTAAGGACCTAAATGTAAAGGTGACAAAGTGATCGGGAAAATGTCAAAATGAACATGGAGAGGTGCACTACCCTCATAATTCAATAAATTTATGCCAATTCGCTGTTCATTCACTACTTTATTATTTAGTGTTCCGTAGACCGATCCGTATGTCGACCATTGTACCTGTATGCCGATAATACGTAAAGCTTAATGTTATATTAGAATCCAAATTATAAAGTCTTCCGCAGACGTTGTTGAATATTGCTGTATCATCACTTGTCGTTTCAAGTGGTTCATTATCAGTTGTTTCACACCAACAAAGAATATGTCGTTCTTTAATATCAATATATATTCTACACAACAAAGAGATAAAGTTTTTGTTCAGACATATAACAAATATCTGTTCAAATTTATTTCTGCGAAGTAAAGATCAAAACATGAAAACAGGTCACACCCCTTTAAAAAACAACCATTAGGTATTTTTTACTTGTCCATGCCTAATGAACCTGTAGAAACATACAATGTACACCAATTTGAATTTATTAATTACGTGTTTATTAGTTAGAAGTGGTCCATTAACGACTCTGCACTGTTTTACTGATCAGGTCTCAAATATATGCTACCTTTTTAATTCATCATTTTTTCTATCCAAACATGAACTTTAAAGTTGTTCACTTAATAACTGTACTTTACCATATAATTTACACATAAACATAACTAAGCCTCGAACTCGATAAGACAAATTACAAAACGAAATATAATGAGGTATAGATGAAATCATGAAATTAATGTGTAGGGATATATCATGGCATAGATAACAAACAACAACGTGAACAAATAAAGAAGTTGAAAAAAATTGAAATCGGGATTAACTTATTTATCATGTTAAGTCACCATTGTAACTTCCGTCGTCGTTGATGTAATAATTGTGCGAAAATAAGGCTAAATTCTGACAAGGGTGTTAAATGTTTGATTAGCAACGCCCACCTCTCAGGATATAAGGCACATCAGTTATGAGTTATTAAGTTTCCAGTGTCCTTATACGCGATACTTGATCATCAGAAAATCAGTAACCACCAATATTCGTCAAATTCTGATACTGGTGTGGTTCTTGTGTTCGTGCCTGAAGGTTGGCAAATATTTGATCATCAGAATTTTGGAAAGTTTTCCATGTCCATAATACCAGAGGTAAGCCCTTATAGTTTAGTGTTGATATGTGTTGCCATGCTGGGCGAGGCGAACGTCACACCTCCTCTCTCTCTATGTCCAGATGCTGAAACATATATTGTAAACTCAAGACACATTTGATGAGACAGATTGTTAGATATGTTAAAATGAAAATCTTCATAGCGATCTCATGCAGAATTATTCTATTTCTTTGCACGATATTAGGTAAGTGTGAGTAATGGAGGCTTCCAAGACTGAAGTTACCTAAAGAAATTTTACTTCGTTTCGAAAATAACCAGTTCTCTTAAAAGTTTTTTTTTTAGAAATAATAGCATCCAGTCTTATTAATTGGGAAAACTGTGTTTTAATGTTTTCGAGAATACCTTAAAGGGTATAGAGTGGTCTGAATGGTACAAAATGTGCAGATAAGTTTATCTGCACATTATTTACATGTACTATATCTCTTTCGACTGTTACAAGGATAACGCACATGTCGATCTTAATATTTACCTAACTGCTTCCTTTTCGTCTTCCGATGTTTCCTTTTAATGCTTCTGTGAGAAACAAATATGTATTATTATTAATATTTCTCTTCAAATTGAAAACGTCCTTATTTCAAAGTCATCATTGCCTGATAATTTGGTCGTTCTTCGTTTCATATTTGGGAAGTCACAATCTTAAAAGATTCGCATAACACGTCATACAGCTGTGACGTATTGATAAACACATGAAAACTAACGTTTAAGAAGCAATTATTATCTAGAGTTGTCGTCCCGGACAAAAAAAGAGAGTGTAAGGATAGGAACTAAAACTTTTGGTAAAGAACTTAAGTCTCAATAAACTTGTGTTTACAGAGGAATAAAACAACGTAGATAGGTGTTTGGAATTTAAATCTGCCTTGTTAGAATATTATTCGTTTTTCTATATCAAATCGCTTACCTTTTTTTCTTTTCTCGAAACACAGACTTAAAATCTTCACAAGTGAGCTGTCGCAGAAACTCGTGCTTGTAAATCAGGTATCCGAACACGGCAGTCGTAAAGACTGCTGTCAGCCAGAATACGGTAAACCAAACAATATTTGGCGGGTATTCGAAGAATGTTATGTACTGCTCCGTGGTAGTGGTTGTCGGAGCAGTGGTAGTCATGTACACAACGACAACGACATTTGCTGTGTCTTGAAACCAAAGAATATTTGAAAAAAATGCACTTATATCTATACTCAGCATCTGTAATTATGTTCAACGTAACGGGAATTATGATACTTGTATATCAACATCATCCTCACATTTTATTTATTATCTTAGAAATCTAAAACTTTATGTATTTACTGAAGAGACCAATGGAACATTTCAAACAATGGTGATTAAGTCTTTCAAGTTAATAGTGATCCCGAGAACATATACCTGTCATTTTAATCCCTATACACGTGTTTGACTTCTTTTACATTGTTATGTTTGCGGTTATTCATTGTGGAAAACAAACATAATTAATTTTTACTTTCTTTATTAATAAAACTATGAAAATTGATGACTGCAAATAATTGTTTCTTGTGTGTAAGCAGAAGCCCTAATGTCTTTTATAATTAAGTATAATTTAGCGTTAAAAGTTTGTGTTTAATTTGGATATTACCTGTTAGTCCGCCATAGTCCGTCACAGTTGCAGTAAAAGCAAAGTATGTCCCGTCTCCAAAGGACGTAAGGAGTTTGTTGAGGTATACATTACCAGTGCCACTTACTCCAAAGTAGGTATCATTAAGGGATGCTTGGTCAAGTGTGTAGCTGAGCGCTCCTGCAACAGTGATATACACGACGACAACGATGCTACTGATGATGATGATACTGCTGCTGCTACTGATGATGTTACTGATGATAATAATGATACTGCTGCTGCTACTGATGATGATGATGATGATGATGATGATGATGATGATACTGCTGCTGCTACTGATGATGATGATGATGATGATGATGATGATGATGATGACGATGATACTGCTGCTGCTACTGATGATGATGATGATGATGATGATACCGCTGCTGTTACTGATGATAATGATGATGATGATACTGCTGCTGCTACTGCTGCTGCTACTGATGATGATGATCTCAATATAGTATATATATATATATATATATATATACACCTAATATCATAGTAGAGGTTGCATAATTTCAGGCTTGACAAATATAGAAACTTGCATATAGGCTATTCAAATCAATTATTTTGAGTTAAACACATATAAATTGGCGTTACATATGACCTTCGGTGATATCTACCGTGCATTCCATTTTGGATATTTCTCGAACCACATAGAACTTGATTTCAAAGAAAAAAATTTATATTTCTTTGTCTTGTTCGGTCACATTAACGTATGATTGCGTGCCAAATTTTATCATTTATTCTTAATTAATCAGTAATTAACATACAATAACAAGTACATCATTGATTTGCAAATGTACTCTTTGATGGCAATATATCTCGCCGGGTTTCGCCTGGTCTTGATACAAGTTACATAGCTAAGCTCGATTCCCTTTCGTCACCGGATCTAGATTATATATATATACTAAAACGAAAAAGAAACGCCGTGTAACCTAAAAAGATTCTTTTAAATGATATAATTTAATGTTACATTATTTCACTCATTTTTGTATACAATTTCATCTGTTTGGAACCATTTGTTGAAGGTTCTATCGATTATCAATGCTAATTATGCCAAAAATATGCCACTTTAAGCGATGACCCTACTTGTATTGCGCAACACGGCCGGACATTTCAGTATCTTGTGTGTCCTCCATACGCAGTTGTCGCAGCCCTGATTCTTCTATGCATGGAATTCATCAGGGTATTAACCCTTGCAATGGGGATGTTATTCCATTCTTCATGCAAGGCACGTGTGAGCTGGACCAGATTGGACGTCTCCTAACTCTCCTATCCAATTCGTCCCACAAATGCTCAATTGGAGACAAATCTTGACTGAATGCTGGCCAATCGATTGGGATTACGTTATTGTTGGCAATAAATTGCTGACAAACTCTAGCGACATGGGGCCGGGCATTGTCTTGCTGGAATATCAGGTTCCGTGCTTGCACACATGGCACGGCAACTGGGCGAAGGATTTCGTCTCTATACCTTACGCCGGTTAAATTACCGTCAATCACGATCAGGGGTGATTTAAACCCATAGGAGATACCGCCCCAAACACATACTGAACCACCGCCAAACATATCCCGCTCAGCGATGCACGCGTCGGTGTAACGTTCCCCTCGACGTCGATATACACGACGTCGCCCGTCCGAACGGTAGAGAGTGAACCGGGATTCGTCAGTGAAGAATACCCGTCTCCATTGCCTCATAGGAAAATTTCTGGGCGAGTGTGCTTGTAACCAAGCCAATCGGCGTTGGCGACGCGCAGGAGTTAAGGGCAGACCAACATAGGGACGTCGGACTCTTAGGCCATTGACGCATAATCGGTTTCGAACCGTATCAGGATGAATATGGCGGTTATGACTGCCTATAGTGTTATTTGCAGTTTCGGTAGCTGTGAGATGGCGATCACGTAAGCGAGAAAGTCTTATAAACCGATTCTGATGTGGCGTCGTGACGCGCGGACGTCCACTTCGAGGTCGGTCGATGACATTCCCCGTCACTCGCACACGTTGGACAAGACGTTGAATTGTCCGAATATGCACACCAAAATGTGCAGCAACCTGAAGTTGGCCCTGACCCTGCAAAAGCATTCCTATAGCCTGTCCCCGTTGGACTTCCGTCAATCGTGGCATGGATGTAAATTGCTTAATTCGAATCTAACTTTGAAAAATCAATCCGAATACTTGAACAGTATCAAATAGACTGAAAATTTCCATTGGCGAACTCAATGACCTTCCCCTGCACGGGATTCTTGTATTTTAGGACGTGCCTCGCACGGCTAGCGGAGGTCAGGTATTGTGTGATTTTAAACACGTGTCCCTAGTGACCGCGAACAACACATCAACCTGACCGAGTGTCATTATTCTAGGCCAAGCAATAAATCATTTGTAGTATATTTAGTGTACCCGGCGTTTCTTTTTCGTCTCAGTATATATATATATATATTGTTTTTTCCAACCATTACTTAGAATGCCAACACATTATTCGTTGCAAGCTGTGGCAGAAATTAAAAAAAAAAAGATTAACATAAGGACAATGCCAAAATATGAAACTACAAGATAATTTGCTTACCAGTTACAAGGCTATCAGGCTAAATCTTACCAAAGATTCCCAAATCCCCGTCAGTGGCAGCTATGCTCCCAATTGTTTCACCGATAGTTCCGTAAATGGTCGTGTATATAGTGTAGTATGACTGGCCGAAAGCTGGTGAATGGTCGTTGACGTCATTGATCGTAACAATAAGCTGTGCCGTATCAGTCAGTTCGCCATCCGATACTGTGGCGATGCATGTCAAAACTGAAGCTGTACCAGAAATATCAAGGTCATAACTACCACTCAATGTAACCGCACCAGTGCTGGAATCCATAGCTATAGCGGTGCAATCCACAGAGTAGGATTGTGTAGCGCTAGTGTCAGGGTCAGTCACCACAAATCCTGGATTGCCGAAGCTTTCTCCATCCTAAAACACAGAACCACAACGCAAATGTTTGCAAATAATGGAATCGTGGAATCTTGTTATTTTTTCTCGTTTTAGTACGATTAATGTATACACCTGGTTTCATGATCCTCGTTTTAATATGGGCCCCGGACACGAAATCACGGACGGAAAAGAGAAACAGACGGACAAAGCGACGTCTATATGCTATCCCTTCCTAATGAAAATTTTTGGGAAGCAGATCTAAGAATTTCATTGAATAATGTGATTTTGTGATATCTTATAATCTGTTCTCCCAATGCCCTGTTGACTTTATTGATTCCTAGATAGCAAAATTAAGGCCCCTAGCATCATTGTTGAGTAATAGAAATACTTAACAGTTGAGCGACGTAGTTTGTTCCACAATTTCATTTCAAATTCATTCTGAAATGTTGTAGTCACTCGAGCATTTTTGTACAATGATTTTATTTCCGGGAGATGACTTTATTGTTTAGAATTCGGCACGAGATGTTATTTGTAACTATCATATCCACATTTTGAGAATGTTTTTTCTTACGTTTCCCTCGTTTCCGCTGACATAGTACGTCGTGCTCCCGAACACTGGGGGTTCATTTATATTCACCACATTGACAGTGAAAGTTGAGTAAGTGTCTGTCAGTGTATTGTCCGTTACAGTTACATCCACTGTAAAACTTGTGCTGGTCAAGCTCTCGTAATCTACAGTTGTAGAGGACGACGTAGACAGTAATCCACCTGGAAGAAACAAACATGTTTCCGGATTTTGTAGCTTAATGACTGCGAAAAGAAACATTAAAATTGTAAGTCAAAAGAAGAAGAGAATCTAACGGGAATTTACAACGATACACCTATTCAGATGTTCTATCCTTGGACTATAAAAAGTCTGCAAAGCAAAGTTATGTGATAAGCAGAATCTTAGATTCGTTTGCATTTTATGTTGAGATTTCCATCAAATGTATAAGTATTAATGTAGTTCATGGAGAGCTCGGTTCCGATTACCAGCGGAGAATACATCTGCAGTCAACACAGTTTACGGATACTAACTAGATGTATCAAATGAGAAGACGGTTGCACCTTCACCAGCAGGTGTTATTACAGCACTGTAAGTAAGTGTATCAAGGTCTGGATCTGCAGCATTTATCTGATAAACGGAGGCACCTCGTGCACTGTTCTCCATTAACGATAGTGAAAACGTAAGAGGTGTGCTCTGAATGACAGGTGGCGAATTTATACCTGAAAAAATACAATTGATACTTTATCATAACATATCAAAGGAAATAAAGCAACATCAGGTTAAATGTATTGATATGTACATAAGTGATAATGAGAAAAATCAGAAGTTGTATCATTGAGTCCCAAACTTCAATTATCTCTTTAATCTATCTAAACAATAATCAATTTATATTTTTAAATTCACAAAAAATGATAGAATGCCTAGTCTGTAACAGACCGTTATTGGTGATAGTCAACGGCAATTTACAATATTTCTACAAGCAATGTGAAATTTGTAACAAGTATGTATTTTCAAAACATGACATTGATAGTTGAATAGTTTGTTACATTTCTGACGAGAAACATTCCAAATTATATCACACATTCAACAAAGTATAGAATATGTACAACACCTCTTTTAGCATTACCAAGAAATTGCGGTTTAAATATTTTGATTACATTAATAAGTCTATTTTGATGTGAGAATTAATAAGATATCCTTAGAAAAAACATGTTTCGCTTAAGATTTTCAAAAGAACAAGACTTTCAAGTTATATAACGTGTAAGACTAGTAGATAAATAGATATTTGATTAAAACCTCTAACCCGATATCTTGACGGTTAGTGTTCTTGGTCCTACTGTATTTGTGCCGTCGCTTATTGTGACATATAAGTCATATCCAGGAATGGTAAGTGACGTCAAATCAGCGTTTGTCTGGATTTCACCTGCTAAAATAGATAATACAAAATTACATTATCTGTGCATTCATTACATGGAAATAAGAACTGTTAACCATGAGAATGAAAAGGTAAATCTCCTGTTGGCTTTTTGGTTATGCTGGTATATTTTCTGTTTTACATGAGGTAAGCCACTCTATCAAATTCAACAATCTATCGTTTTCAATGTAACAGTTAATCGAAATAAGGTTGCATTCAACTAGTCACACAAAAGGTTCAGCAGTGCAAAACACAACAATTCGTTATCAGAAGTAAGTTGTTCAGACTGAATTTGTGTTTTTTAAATCCGTAATAATAATCACATTGGAAAAGTTTGTAGGTCTCAACGCTTCATCAGGCGTACACTTACATTTTCAAAAATCTTGTATTTCTGTCTATTTGTCATTTTAAAACCATTAAGTTTAGGTATATGTGGGAAAAGATACTAACGTCAAATAGATTGGCAAAAATTCAGCCAAACTCAAAATCGACGAAACGAAGTAGAAACATCAACAGGAGAAATATTTGGCTTGTGACCCGGAGGCTAGACATGTAAATAACTCGGCCATAATGGCAACTACCGGGTATTTGAAGGACTATGCAACTTTATGATATAGTTTAATGCAGTATGTGGTTCTACTGTGTCTAATTCTGAATTTTCATTGATGATATTTTCTTTGGGTGTTTTGTGTATAATAAACGATTAATAATATGGATAAATACTACATGTAACAATATTATATTTATAATGCACTATATATGTTGAGCGGCGTTCATTGGGGCAAAACATCAGCAAGCATGTTAAACTGAACGTTTAATATGGCGTACAATACACAACAACAAAAATAGAGAATCATGAGATTACATAATAGTTATACAGTACAGTTAGAGTCGGATACGGAGAATCCGGATTACGTGATACTAATTACTGCACTAAATACTATATATCAACAATATACGTACCTGCCGTAATTGTAAATGGACATGTTCCTCCAGAAGAACACGTAATGCTGCTAAATGAAATAGCATCCGAAATATCCACGTCAGATGCCGTCACAGTATACACACTGGTACCGCCTAGTGTGCTACTAGGTATCGTTGTTGTTGCTGCCAATATATGTATACCAATGCCCATGATTATATTGATCAAAAAACTAGAACCAACCCTATTCTGTTGAAAAGCAAAATCAACAGTCAACTTTTTAGCGTTATTTTTTTTTTTTTTTTTTGTTATTATAAATGAGGCAGTTGTTAACTACCCGTGCCTCTCAATATCAAGTACATAAAAGTAAAATCATGTCTGAGAATAAGTGCTTTTCTGAAGTCTACTCCTATGTGATTTTGGTTCCCTCAGATTTTATCAATATCGGCCTCATTTGAATATTTTTTTTTTTTTTTTTGTGCATCATTTGTACAATATCGAAAACGTTATTGTATAAAGTTAACCTGGTAGATTGGAGAATGTAGGTGGGGTGTTGGATGTAATATACACGTAGAAGGTCCCGCTATCTGACGATCCATAGGAATCGGTGCAGGTGGTATCAAACTGGTATTTCTTTGTTGTTGTATAGTCAAATCCAGGATTTGAAATGGAGTATATTCCATATGCTTAAATTAGAAATCCACAAAAATTATTTATTCATTTATTTATTTTAACACTCAGAAGATTTCAGTTTCGGAAAGAAATTTCTTAGTAATATTTTGAGAATAATTTGTGAATTGCTTTGAGGTTTCCAAACACATTCGTGTATTAGATCTGAATAATAATTTATCATTATTTATAGTCAAAAATATAAAATGAAAGTTATAGTCGACAAAAATAATTAAGGAGGGAAGTTGTAGAATCCTGGGACTGTAAAATAGGTAGAAACCAAGGTCCTATTGGATACAGAATGTGGTGGCGTGACAGAAAAAATATTTTGAACAATAATTTTGACTTAGAATAATGCAGGTATTGGAACTGGAAGGGATGGCAGGGTACATAAGACCAGGTGTTCTAGAATAGTAAGCGTCTTCTACTTCATCTAGGACACCCGCCATGTAAACCTTGGTCAGACCAAGTAAGTAATGTCACGCTCTCAAAAGAGACTAACGAGCATCGAACACGTCCAGCTTCATGTCGCACATGTCTCAATGAGATCACTATGACGACCATAAAACTTCCCCATAACGTTCCTCAACCCGAAAGCTGTCATTGTTGGTTTCGTGGTATTTGAAGACGTCAGTATTACATATGAAAGTGAAATTAAACGCCAAGTCTGCCAATAGTCTGTCGGATGATCTTACCAAAAACCTCGAAGACATATATATTCTTTTATTTGGACGTGTTTTTTATGAAATACGTTTCGGTATATTTCACAACCACATACTTGTACCGCCGTTCAGCTTTCTTGGCGAAGAAAGAGAATGAAAGGGTTCTTTCTGTTTACAATGGGATTTGTTTGTGTACAGGGCGGAAAATCAAATTGCCTGTCGATCACATAACATGTAACCAGCCAATAAAAAAGGGAAAAAAACATGTATACTTTGTTTTAGTTGAGAACATATTACTTTCTTGGAGATAACCAAGGTCGTCGACGTCGATGAAGCAGAAATGTCTAACATTCCGGAACACTTGGTCTTACTATCCATGCACTATTTCAGGCGTCCCCATTTAAAATTTCCTTTTGTCCTTATTTTCCCCAGTTTTATGGAATTGAGTTTTGATTATGATCAGGTTGTTATATTTTTACCATACAATATTAAACATTCTATGTTATGTGATTGTAGTTTAGACTTATTATTCAATAGTAATGAATGTCAGAGGAAAAATAGCAATATAAAGTATGATTTACTAAACACTTACTTGTTCCAGACACAATAGATATAGTGAATTTAGGGGCAGAAGTTAAGGTACAACTGGCGATGCTATCAGTTGGCGAGACGTCTGATATTGTCAAGCTGTGGAGGAGTGTCACGGCGGTTAAATCCTGACTGACCACGGCATAACTCGGCAAGTTGGTAATGTACAGGGGCTGTCAAAATAATGTAGACATCCAGATATTTTTAAAAAAAATCATATAGATATTCTGTTTGTATAGGCAGAAGATGGGAAACATAATACTTGTAATACTGTGTCGACACATTTGGATTTATATTGGGGAGATCGAAAGACATTTTGGATAATATAAGAGATATAAGGGCAAATATAGGTTAGGTGTGAAATTCTGAACAGTCGCTCAATTTCGCAGGAACTATGTTTTATCATTGTTTTGGTTGCGATCTCGGAAATATGTTTTTGCTCCCAGCTCTAATCATGTTGTTAGGTTCTCAGAACATTTGATATCCTCTGATGCTACCATCGGGATTCTCAATCCTATCGAAATCTGTACAATATCCATACTTGAATTCCCTTAAATATCTTTGTTAATCTTATGGAACTTAATCAATTGCCTGATTTCTGTAATAATCAGTTCTTCAATTTTGGAATTCCCAACTGATATATCCACTGTCGTTTCCCGTTACTTACCGAAACCTCTTATATTCTTCTTAGGAATCCGGAACTAATGTTATCGTTAGTGTTTTAGGATTCCGGAAATTACTTCATTTTGTACTGTTAATGTAAGGGTTCCGGGACTTACCGAATTCTGTACTGTTAATGTAAGGGTTCCGGGACTTACCGAATTCTCCACTGTTATTGTTAGAGTTCCAGTGCTTGTTTTCCCACAAGGATCCTGAACCTGGAACGTCAAAGTGTACGTCCCTGCAGCAATTGTATTAATGAGCGTCGTGACTTCAACTGAAGAGAAAATAAAAAATCCGAGAACCATTGATTGCTTAAGTGTTCAGAACAGACTCCATAAATTTATCGTTTGAATGATATATGTGTGTGCTGCATAAAGACAAAGGGTCTATTCATTACTATTCATGCGCGATGTTTGTTTTTATCCCTAAACTTAACATAAACAAGGTTTAAATACTTTAAGACATGTAAGACATCTAGCTGTAATGTTATACGATAGATATGATTCCTTAAAGTAAATAAAATTATCAATTTAATTATTTTCTCTTGTAACATTTATCTTTTCATGGTGTTCGTCAATGACACCCCCACCCTAGTGTTGCCGGTATAGTACGGCTCCTCATCTAATCTTTTTGATGATGTTATTCACTCTGTTCAGTCATCTACGAGTAAGAATTTTCTCTAATGAAAATCTAAACCAAAGGTGAAGATATATATATATGTACCTGTATCGATGGATTTAAATTGAATTGCTTCAGCAGCCACAAAAGATACAAAAGCAATCCTTGAATATATTTTATACCGAATGCATCTGCACATATCTGAATAGTCCGGACGTATACTACCTTGGTATAAAACCTTTGAAGTTGTCTGTTGTCACAGGTGTCTTTTAAGTTATGATTGTCATGTGAAATGGTTCACAGATTCAGTTCATGCATCCCACAGCATCATACAAAAATTAAAGAAATATATATGAAGGATGTTACATACGTGTATTTGTATCAAAACTAAATTCTGTAGAAGATGACGTCATTGAAGTTGTAATCGTGTCGCCGTCATCATCATATACTGTAAGGGTATATACGAGGAAGCCAGCTGCCGAAATGTCGCTGATCGAGGTCGAGGCTACCAAATTTGTTATTGTAGGGGTAGAGCCTGCCAGAATCAAACGCGAAAAGAGAAAGTTATCTACCTTTTGTAGTTAAGGGGTACAGCTACCAAGAAAGGGAGAATCCATTACAAGAAATTGAATATGAAAACACGTCAAAATCATGAGTAATCAATGAAAGTCTTGTAACTTGAAGATAAGACATCAAAATCAAATAGTACCTCACCTTTATTATATGCTAGTATACTAGTAAAAGCTCATCACGAAAATAAGTCTTATTTTAACGCAAACAAGTCAAATAGAGAGTGAAAAACAAAAAATAATAATCTTTCCATGATTTTTAACTTCAGAAAAAATAATATGTATTGTGCTACTTATCAACTTTGTGTCGCCAACCACCTTTCTTGGAAAAAGTTGCAAAAAACACACACAGGGATTTATTTCAACTCCAAATCAATTTAATTTCATCAAAATAATAATTTTGACATCACTGAATATCAAAAGGCTACTCCTCATTACAGCCTAAATACCAAGACTATCAAAGTGGGAAAAGCAAAGGCAATGGTAAAATTATCGACAGGAAAAGTAGTAAGTTTTGTAGATGAATCCATTTTTATAAATCAAGTGTCAAAAGAAGTGTGAATTTCCGGTCCGTCACGTGTTAGTCGATTATAACTTCCGGTACGGACAAGGAAATTCCGTTCAATCAAGATATACTCTTCTAAGGAGAAACAAAAATCTCTTCTTTCAATACAGAATGTGAAAAACAGGTATTGTAAAATTTACCTGGTTGTAATTTAGCTTGGAATCCGAATCGTTTTCCCGTCTGCAGAGCATCTCCGGACCAGTCGTGCGTGTTTCCCACTGTCAATGCTCCGACCGAAGTAGACGTCCGGTAGTCCGGACCGCCTCCGTTTGATTTATAACTTACTACCGATGCACCAGGAGAATACCTTTTATTAACATTGGTATCAATTCAGTAAACATATTACATAACATTAACAATATTAAATTATTTATATGATCACCGCAAATGGCAATGACAGCGATGAGTTTTAATCATTTTCCTGGGGGTCTTTATGAACCTTTTCTGGTTGTCAGGAAATCAAATGTAATGTATGGTGGGAAAATAAATTTCGATTTCCCACCTAAATTATACATTCAATTGATTCAAACGATCATGTTTAAAAGTCGACATGCTCAACAACAAATTATGTTTGTACATTGTACATGTCATTGGTATCACAGAAATACGTATTCTAAACTGTAATGTAGGAATTTTCTCCGACTAGCGAAACTGTGTCATATTGTTTGAAATATCCGTGCAGTATTAACTCACATGTTAGGGCGTGAAATAATCCCAAAACATCTGTTGGGTCCATGTGTTATATAAAAAGCATCTCGGACTGAAGCGTAAGTTTTCTTACATGATTTTCAACGCTTCCACTTGCCATCCCGGTGCTAACACTTTAGCCACGCCAGGACACGTAAGATGCAGTTCACTTCATCATTTGGCTAATAAATCTAATTCTAAATCTTTATTTCGAAGGTGCAATTCACATTTACCTTTTGTACAATAGAAATGAGTTCGATGCCATAATTAGTGGTTGTGTTTCCTTTAGACAGACTTGCTTCTCATTTAATGATAACGTGACTAAGTTTGTATGAACTAAGAATATACAAATGTATAGGGCAATATCAAACACATTTGCTTGATTTTCTTTTGAAATCAATCAATACGACTACATATTGAATTTTGGGGTTATTGCACCTTCTGGTTTCTGACATTTATTTTTGGTTTTCCACGGTAGCATTTTACGTATAAAAAATTTAGCACCTTGACGTCATTCCCGATTCGAAAAAGGACGAAGCAATTTATTGCGCAATCTCAATCATTATTTTGATCAACTGTATCTTAATTTTAGATTGGTAGTGAAATAAATGAAGTTTTACGGCCGTTATAGTGACGCCATTGAGAAATATTCTATTTATTTGTATGCTATGAAGCTGGACGTATTTAATGCTTGTTAATTTGCCTGTTTGTTCTGTTGTATATATTGTTGTTATCGTTTGAAAACACGCCATTACTTACCTGGATTTATCAAAATTTATATCATGTGTGTCGTCAATAAAGAAGAGGACTTTTATTCTTTCGGAACACCTGGTCTTATTCTCCTTGTACTTTTTCAAGTGTCTTCGTGTAAATCTTTTGTTTATATTTTGCCTTAGTTTTTAATGAATGTGAGTTAAGACTATGAATCCATTTGCATGTTGGTATTTTGTTGTTGTTCCTGACCTATAAATTTTGATAAATGTTTTATTCTCTTTAATGACAAGAATTAAGCTATGGTAAAATCATAAAATTAGGCATGGCTGGAGATTTTCAATCTTGAACAGATTATTCCGCGGAAAATACAAATATCGGACAATCGAAAAGCTAGTATTCCATTGGCATGTCTTCGTTTTTCTAAGCGAAGTCAAGCAGGTAAAAAAGAAAGTAGGACAAATATCAAATCTATAACTGTCCGAAAGTTAGACGGCAACATCACAGCAGAGTTGAGAAACGAATCTCCGTAAAAGGAACGACTATTTAGGTCATGGAAACACGACACCTTTATATTTAATATCTTACTATACATACCAGCCAATAATGTCATTTTCATTAACAGAGATTCGATCTGTCGAGGTAAACGTGGCAGTATTACTACCAGTAGCTGAAATCAAAATGGTATGATTGTAAAGTACAGATTACCTTACCTTTACCATACATTTGTCTGAATTGTTGTTGAAATTGAGCTTATGCTAATGCAATTTCTGATTAATTGAAACAAACCTGATGAAAATTGGATAATTTTTTCATGGAAAGTGGAAATGTTCTTCTGAAAATTTCAACTGACCGCATGAAAAGTGGAACAATGTTGTAAAACATCAAAACTATTTATAGGAAAAGACGAATCAATATGATGAAATGTTTTAACATCCTGGTGGGAACATTGCAATTCTTGTGAAAACGAGGAATCATTCTAGGTTAAATTTTGATGATAACTCGAACCGTTCTTAGGAAAGATGGAATCGTTCACATGAAAGGTAGAGACATTTGTATGACATTGCTATCATTCTTATACAACGTTTAACCTGTGGTAAGTTGACCTATTCCTATAAAAACATTCTATAAAAAGCTGAACCATTCTGATGGAAATTGAACCATTCTGAAGAAAAGTGGGTTCATTTCAGTGAAAAATGTTAATACTGTAACTCATTTTGATGACAAGCAATTCCAGGGGGATCTTGACTCCCATCATTATTTGGTCTTCAATAATTCTTTAAAAGTTGGATTTTGTCCTTTTTTCCTACTGCTTTTCTTTTTAAAATATGAAATTTGAAATCAAATGGCGGAACTAGGGACCACTGGGAAGCTAAATATGAACATTGGAAACAATGTATCCCTTACATTTTGCTCTTTTGGTTAGGCTATAATGAACAGTGCAAAATTGCAATGAAATAGGGAAACAAGAGAGACCTACTTATAAAATTTGATATTTTTCCATTAAGCACTTCTCAAGAAATGAGATAATGAACATTGTTATAGTCCCAACTGGCTGCTTGTTAGCTGTTTTTTTTTTGTTTTTTTTTTTTTTTTGTTTTTTGTTCAATTTCAATATCAAAACAGCTATCGATATAACATATTTAAATACATATTAGATATAGAAAGATCCACTTCTCAAGAAATAGCGACAACAACCTTTCATTGTCAACATTTGAAATGGCCGCCATTTTGATCTTCTGATTAGTCCTAAAATCAGAAGGACACAGTTAATGACCTAGCGGAACGTACATACTGAGAAATAGCCAAGAAATAGCGAAAATAATAATCGTTTTCAGACGTACAACGAATGGCAGCCCAATCAGATGGGGTAGGGCTAAAAGTATAGTCTGTGTTAAGACAAGCAGATCTCTTATTTATCACTGTATACAAATGTATTTGACATTATCCTTTTTTGACTGGCGAGAAGTCTAACCTCGCTATCTCGAAGTCAGCGGAACCGTAAGAAAACTTTAGAGTTATCCCATCATTCTATTTAAATAATATAGAATGTTAAGTATTAAGTTTGGCCTGGACCGAATTATACATGGTGTTAGAGTTATAAAAAGTTCGAGATAACGTAGTTTGACTGTCTTTATGTATTTAAACATGTTCAATAAACTCGATATCAACACGGATAATGCAATAACATTCATATCAACAGCAAATGACCCTGGATGATAAATAGAAAGTTCCCATTGCCATCTGTGCTATTATTTAATCCTTAAGTGGGTTAGTGATTTATTTTGTGTCTGATTTTTTCCCGTAAATGATATAGTACGTACCAGTTGGCGTGTGCTGGTGTTGACCAACTAGCTCATATTCGCCTGCTGTGCCAGTTCCCCTCCAAATTTGAAAATAAACAGTGTTCACACTTTTGGCATAATATAACCATTCATAGACAACTCCGCAAGTACAAGGAACTGTGTCTTCGGTTAGCAGGCTCATGCCTATTAAACAGAAACACATATTTATGATTAGATTTCTTGATTTCTATGGTAACCTATCGATCAATTTAAAACCTGCAAGCACACTAAACGAGTTCATGGATGAGTGAAACCTACGAGTAATGTGAACTTATTCTTGGTACGGTATAACCTAGGATTATTCTAACCGAACTCATGGATAGGTGGAATCTGAGATTCGCTACACGAACTCTTGGACATTAGAATCCTGCGATTACTCTAAACGAACCCTTGAACAGACGGAACCGGTGAGTACTCTAATTTACCCTTTGGACAGAAGAATCCTGCAACCATTCTTAACGAATCCTTCAACAGACGAATCCTGCGACTACTCCAAGCGAACCCTTGAATAGATGAATCTTGTGATTACTCTAAACGAATCCTGGACAGGTGAAACCTGCGACTGCTCGTAGCGAACCCTTGAACAGGTGAAACTTATGAGTGCTCTAAACGAACTCTAGGACAGATGAAATCCACGACAAGTATGTAAGCTTCACTTCATTTGAGTAGTGCCACGGTTGAAAATATACACATGTACTTGATATTTTCCTTAAGTGATCAAGTATATGATAATGAGGAAATTAATTGGATTACGGGGCTGAAGCATCTCCCCATCTACAGCTGGACTATTTTTTCGTTCGCTCTTAAGTCTAGCCTTTATAATCCAGGTCCTTAGCATCACATACAAGTCCTAGAAAGACGAAACGACTGTAGGATGCAGTAAAGTTAATCGTTTGATTTTACTGTATCTAACTCTAAAGTAAAATTTAAATATGCTGTTCAATTGTGTAGCTTTTGTAATATTTTACTTTTTTTTTTTTTTTTTTTTGCAATTGTTACATGTACATTTTTAAATGTTTTTATTATTGAAATTGATAATCTTTCATCGAATTCATTTTCAGAGTACAACCAGTTATATATAGTTGTATATCTATAGACTTACCATTTGTACTAAAGTCTGATGAGCTTCTGGTTTTTGGGGTGTTATCACCAGCATAATCTCCAGCTGCACAATCTGCCCCTGTATATACAAAGTAATATCATTATTTCTCAGTCACCTTACAAAGATTCATGAATAAATACAGCTAAACATACTGGTATATTTGATTTTTTAAAATCCCAATGTTTGGTTAGGGACATAATTTCTTCAAATTCTAAATCGTTTTTTTATATATACAATAAATGAATATTTCATCTATAATATTATCCTGAAATAATCAATAAAAAAAAAGAGTGGTAGAATGAAGAAGGGACAAGAAAAGAAGGTTCTTTTAATATGGTGTTGAAAAGTCTTACGTTTACACGGTCTTCCCAAACAAGTATAATGGTGACTGATAACATTTGGTATGAATTCTCAAATGTGCCCTACATAATATTTGTCAGCACGTGCTAGATTTTACTTGTAGAGTTTAATGAAAAAAAAAACCTTAAAAACGTAAATCATGTCAATAAAATTATAATCCAAACTCAAATTCAATCAGACTTAGACTTAGGGAACAAAGGTTTACAGGGAGACTCCTGCAAAATTACAAGGAGAATAAGACTAGGTGTTCTGGAAGACTAAGCGTCTTCTGCTTCAACGAAGACATCTGTCATTCACATGTAAATCGTTGGCAATCCAAATGACTAATGTTATGTTCTCAAATGTGAACAAGGTACTATCACTATCTCTAGAAGAGTTGCCGTTTCTTACAGTGTAGGGTACTGCCTCTGAGATATATTTGAAAATGATAAAAGTAAAACGGCAAATGTATTCCGCTAACGTTTTCATGGCCTGAAAACGTTAGCGGAATACATTTGTCGTGTTGATTTTATTCTTATCAAATATCTTATCGATACACAAAGCATTTTTAAGTTTCATCTATATATATAATAATAATGATAAATGATAATAAATGTATCGCCTGAGATGGCTGTTAGGCCTGAAAACGTTAGCGGAATACATTTGTCGTGTTGATTTTATTCTTATCAAATATCTTATCGATACACAAAGCATTTTTAAGTTTCATCTATATATATAATAATAATGATAAATGATAATAAATGTATCGCCTGAGATGGCTGTTAGGCCTGAAAACAATAGCGGAATACATTTGTCGTGTTGATTTTATTCTTATCAAATATCTTATCGATACACAAAGCATTTTTAAGTTTCATCTATATATATAATAATAATGATAAATGATAATAAATGTATCGCCTGAGATGGCTGTTAGGCCTGAAAACGTTAGCGGAATACATTTGTCGTGTTGATTTTATTCTTATCAAATATCTTATCGATACACAAAGCATTTTTAAGTTTCATCTATATATATAATAATAATGACAAATGATAATAAATGTATCGCCTGAGATGGCTGTTAGGCCTGAAAACATCAGCGGAATACATTTGTCGTGTTGATTTTATTCCTTTCAAATATATAAATAAATACGTCACTTCCGCAATTTGTTGGCTATAAGAAATTATTTGTCTTTGTACATCGACAAAATATGTGGCAGTTCTGGTGACGTCTAGAATTTATGGAAGTTATGTAAAAAATATTATGTCAGTGTATAGGGTTCATTGAAGTTTTTCAAAACAACTATTTGGATTGTATGGAATTTGCTCTATTGTCCCTATTTGATCCCATCAATGTTTCTTATTGTATTTGTTCAAAATCTGCTCAGTCGTTCATGACAAGTAGCTACTTGTAGGAAAAGCTGAGGGGCAGAGGAAGGAATCGCGGATTAACCACGCACACAGCAGAATGGCATTTGCCAAGCAGGGCTAGATGAGCTAACAATATCTTGAATATAAAAAAAAAGTTTAAACAACTAAATAATAAGATTTACGATAAAAATCAAAGATCTCACGATATCAATTTCAGATTTTACAATAAAACTCATATGTTTTACAATATAAATCTCATGTTTTACAATAAAACTCATATGTTTTACAATATAAATCACATGTTTTACAATTTAATTGTAAATGACAAAATCAAATGGAGGCAGCCATTTTGATTCGCAATTTCAATTCTTGACGAAAGGCCATTGTCCATATCATTGCATCATAATCGACATCTGTATGGCGCAGCCAATCAAAAATTCTTGAGGGTACATAACACAAGTGAAATATATAAACAAAAATATTACAATCCATTGGATAACAAGCCGATTACATGATAACTAAATATATTTCAACGATTACCTGATGCCGGGATCATGCAAAATTAGTTCCACTCAGTAACGAAAAATTAGTTTTAATGATATTTGCGTGGTACTAACGCGATCTCTCATGTGGTTTTATTTATCGTCATGCAGTAGAAATATCACTACAATAAACGGATTTTAAATTACGTACTTATCTTTTCACTTTCCAGTTTTTTACTCCATAAGTTTTTCATTAATCTAAACCTTGGATTCAAGGGCTGACATTGTATTAAAATTTACTGTTTTTGTTAGCATGAACTCAGTGATTCTTTCCGGTTTATAGAAAATATATTTGACATCGGAAATTTAAAATTCGTGGAGTAACATGTCAATGTGGCTCATCTACGTTTAGGTCACAGCTGTATAGAAAATGGACATTGAAACGTTATTTGTTCGGTGTTTCAAGGGTGTGGTTTTTGTGACAACAATTTTAAATAAAATGTTACAATTGACTAGTGCGAGTCAATAGCAGTTTAGTCTTAGTACGTAAACAGCCTGGTAAACTACTGGATAGGATTAATGGTTAACATTAACCAAATTTACATCTCGTGATACGATATAAGGCACTCATTGTCCGAAATCAAAACTGAGCCAGTCTGCCAATTTTCCTACATTTGCTTTTATTAAATTTTTATCTATACACTATAGTTGTATTATTATCATCATTACAAGTTAACCGCTAATAATCATACATATTCGTGTATCTAAAATGCTGCCGTGTCTAAGATTTTTTTTTCTTTAAAGTTTCCTAATATTGGTCAAGAGGTGTGGTGACACGATACAGCGGTGAAATAAAAAAAACAACACTGTGTGCTGGGAAACGATTTTGGTACATTAAATGATTTGGTTTTCAAAAGTGTCATATAAATATTTCAGATTCGAGAAAACAACAAGTAAATAAAAAAGAAACACGAAAGATAGATAAATAAAAAGTGGCCCGGCCGAGTTTCAGCCGAGTTCCTTGTATAAATCTATACAGCTTCAGACCTGTAGATTTATCGACTGTTTGCTCCACAGCACATAAGCAATTAACCTGTAGATAATCGGGTAGTAGCTTGCTTCTAAAGAGAAAAGTAGTTGATAAATTTCTTGAATGGCTTCCGAGTCGTTTCGAAGCTTTGCAATACTCTTTCAAATATAGACATGTTTCAGTGCGTGCTGTAGTGTTTTCAATAAAATGACAGCATTGACGGACCGAGTACATTGGAATTTAATAGCAAATATCTCTGCAAGTAAACCATCATATCTATATATATGTATAGACCCTGAAGGATACGTCATATCTATATATATGTATAGACCCTGAAGGATACGTCATATATATATATATAGACCCTGAAGGATACGTCATATCTATATATATGTATAGACCCTGAAGGATACGTCATATCTATATATATGTATAGACCCTGAAGGATACGTCATATCTATATATATGTATAGACCCTGAAGGATACGTCATATCTATTTGTACGTGTAGACCCTGAAGGATACGTCATATCTATATGTACGTGTAGACCCTGAAGGATACGTCATATCTATATATATGTATAGACCCTGAAGGATACGTCATATCTATATGTACGTGTAGACCCTGAAGGATACGTCATATCTATTTGTACGTGTAGACCCTGAAGGATACGTCATATCTATATATATGTATAGACCCTGAAGGATACATCATATCTATATGTACGTGTAGACCCTGAAGGATACGTCATATCTATATCTATGTATAGACCCTGAAGGATATGTCATATCTATATATATATATATATATATATATGTATAGACCCTGAAGGATACGTCATATCTATATGTACGTGTAGACCCTGAAGGATACGTCATATCTATTTGTACGTGTAGACCCTGAAGGATACGTCATATCTATATATATGTATAGACCCTGAAGGATACATCATATCTATATGTACGTGTAGACCCTGAAGGATACGTCATATCTATATCTATGTATAGACCCTGAAGGATACATAATATCTATATATATGTGTAGACTCTGAAGGATATGTCATATCTATATATATATATATCTATAGACCCTGAAGGATACGTCATATCTATATCTATGTATAGACCCTGAAGGATATGTCATATCTATATATATATATATATATATATATATATATGTATAGACCCTGAAGGATACATCATATCTATATGTACGTGTAGACCCTGAAGGATACGTCATATCTATATCTATGTATAGACCCTGAAGGATACATAATATCTATATATATGTGTAGACTCTGAAGGATATGTCATATCTATATATATATATATGTATAGACCCTGAAGGATACGTCATATCTATATCTATGTATAGACCCTGAAGGATATGTCATATCTATATATATATATATATATATATATGTATAGACCCTGAAGGATACGTCATATCTATATATATGTATAGACCCTGAAGGATATGTCATATCTATATATATATATGTATAGACCCTGAAGGATACGTCATATCTATATGTACGTGTAGACTCTGAAGGATACGCCATATCTATATATATATACGTGTAGACTCTGAAGGATACGTCATATCTATATATATATACGTGTAGACTCTGAAGGATACGTCATATCTATATGTATATATGTGTAGACTCTGAAGGATACGTCATGTAATAGCGATCTTCTAACACAAATTCCAATATATAAAGGACAATAAAACAAATTAATTTCGAACGAAATTGAAAAAATTAGAACATATTCAGTTATTTTTTGATTTTGGAAAAAAAGAGCGAGATCTTTCTACAAAACAGACTGAAAGACAGACATTTTTACCCTGAACATCCATTGAATAAAACGTCTTTTTCACATCATCAAAATAATTGTGAACATATCATATACAAAATGTATAATTTATTTATTTATGTAAGTACAATATAGGTATTCTTGTAAATCCTCTAGTTTTATTGATTTAACAGATTCTTTATTAACATTAATATTCTATTAATAGCATATACACAAACTTATTAGTGATAAGCATTTATTTATAAGTGTACTTAAAATGCAGCTGTGCCTAAGACTTTTTTTCTAAAGTATCCTAATATTGGCCAAGGAGTCACGTGATACTTTATTATATATTATACTACTATTATATACTTTATATATTTTTACAGCATGAAATGTATTTTTCTCCCAATCAGTATCGCACATGATGAATGAAACTACCACAAAAAACTGGCATCTCAGTTCACTTTAAATATAAATATTTCTTCTCACTAATTTTTTTTCTATACACAATACCAATATACATTCTGCATTACTGATTGTTACCATTATTACCAACTAAACAGAAATTGAGGAATGATTTCTACAACTAACACGTTAGACAACCTGTTGTTGATAAACATTTCTTAAAGTAATTTGTAAAATAAATAAAACCCTGCTTAAAAGAAAGAGACTCGCTTACCATTTGCTGGCAGTGGTATCATAATCAGCACGACCTTCAGCAGCAGTGTCAATTCCATCTCGGATGTAAATCCTCTAGCTCGACCATCCAACAGCTACCTTTATGCCAGCTGAAATTTCGTCACCACCACCTGTAAGCAGTCACTTGGTAGTAATTCATGTCCGTGGTTTAAATCGATCGTGCGAAAGTTGAATAGACGCTTTAAGTATAGATCATTCATGCACTAAATATTGGCCGTTGAATGCGAGATATGGGAAACTTTCAATACATGCATTTAAAAACTCCGGAATAAATGTTTATCCACCATCAACTGAGAAAGTACTTGACTGAACTTGAAAGTATACACATATGTGCCGCATCTCCTATAGATACCATACCCCAATTAAACACACCACCCCGTAAACACGTGACCAAATAATTATATAATTCTACCTTTGTATAAGGGAGTAGTCGCTACATTTCGATTTCATCAGATTTCCAAGTCATATAAAGCTGTTAACAGACAGTAGCCATATTTTCTCCAATCTCTCTTTGATCACAATTTGGTGGCGAGCCCTGTCCGAAGAAGTTGGGGTGTTTTGAGCTGAAGTATACATCTACGTCTATACTACTTTATGTAAATCTTTTCATTGTAAGTTGATAAGTACTTTAAATCTTCAACACATTTTTATTTCTTTCTGTAATTCTTTTGTTCGCTTTTGCATTACAGATTTCGGTGTCGCAAACATTAACCGTAATTAATTTAATCTTTATTCTCGAGATTCCAGACATTACAATACAAAAGTTTTCATGGAAGGAGCCTTCCGGTTATATTGGTGTATTTTTATCATTGCGAGACCATAAAACATGATAATTTTGTTTTAATGATATATTTTAGTGTGTTGTCAATATTGATATAACCACGGACTTATATACACATATGTGATATAACCAGCAGGTTAGGTAGCGACCATTTAGCAAGTCTGGGAGGTAGGGACTTCAAGTGATCTTTAAGGAGAAGTAGAATATCATTTATTTCATGAAATAAATACATTTGTGTTAGATGGTTACTTTATATATTCATGTATATATATATATGTATAATTGTCATAATCCTACAGATGTTCTTCACATGATAATGTTATGTAAGTTGGCTCTTGCATGATTTTGTTATTTGGAATAAGATCTTGAACTCTGACCACCTGGTGACCATCTGTTACCCTGTGTAGTTTGTATCTCTTGTTATTTGGATGTTATGTGTGCGCACGTGTTAGCTAAGAGGGCCGTGTAGGGCAGCTCGCTATGCGGTCACGGTTTTAGCTTGACCAGTCAGAGGGGCTGTTCACGTGACCAGCGGCAGTAGCCGTGATGCTAGGCGGTCAGGGCCTGGATTGACCAATCAGCGAGGCGCGCACCTCTTCGTGATTTTGACCGCGCCATATCTTCATCACTCCTCATAATTTTTCTGCTGCTGTGATTACGTGTAATATCTTTCGAAGTCCCACCCATACCACACTCTTACATTTTGTCTTGAGCCAGCTTATATATCCATGTTTTTTTTTTTAATTCAAACTTATGTTTCTATGCCGATAATTTGTACCCCATCTTTTTGAACAAACGCAGAATTATGCTGAAAGACCTTCAATCAATTATAGGTTTACTGAATTTTTTCTGTGTAGTGATTATTCCGGGTAGGGCTTTTCTGAGACGATTAATTAATCTCACATTAGGTGTCACGGAACAACATCACCATATACGTTTAAACACAGAAGCACGTGCGGACATTCAGCCATGGTTATATTTTCTTACGGAACATAACGGTAAATCTTGTTTTCTCTATGACGATTGGGTGTCATCTGAGACAATCAAGCTTTTCTCAGAGGCAGCTGGTGTTCATGGGGGTTGTGCGACAGTTCTTGGACATCTTTGGTTTGTTGGAGAGTGGACAGAGCAATTACAATCATCTCATATCACTTTGAAAGAACTGTTACCTATTGTTATTGCAATGGAAATCTGGGGCTAGAAACTTTCAAACCACAAAATACTTTTCATGTGTGACAATAGTGCCGTTGTTGATATTATTAACAAAACATCCACTAAGGATTCAAGGATTATGAAATTAGTTAGAAGGTTAGTTTTGGCAACTCTTAAATACAACATTTTCTTTAAGGCCAAACATATCCCTGGTTTTACAAATGTTGTTGCTGATAGACTGTCCCGCTTTCCATTTCAGGCGGCTTTTCAGGTAGCTCCATGGCTAAGTCCAAATCCTGTAGAAATACCACCACAACTGATGACGGTGTAGTAAACCAGTTGTTGTCGACATCCTTGGCTCCATCTACAGCTAATTCTTACCGACGGGTTCTTAAAAATTTCATTCATTTCCATAGTATGAAATATCCTGGGAAAACCATATTTCTAACTTCTCAACGGGTATTGTCTGAATATATTGCTCATCTTTTTACACAAAATTTGAGCTTTGCCACAATTTATTCGTATATTTCGGCAATCAGTTTTGTTCACAAACTTGAAGGCATGGCTGACCCCACCTCGTCATTTTTTATCAAAAAATTGTTGAAGGGTGTACATAACACAAAACGGCGGTGTGACTGTAGGTTGCCCATCACTCTTGACATCTTAGAAAAACTTTGTTATGCCACTGACAAAGTGTTTACATCTTTTCGTAAAGCCCTGCTTTGCAGATCAATGTTTCTACAAGCATTTCACGCTTTCCTTCGTATAGGTGAGTTTACTGTCAACCAGAATAACCAACCAGACCAAGTCCTTCAGGTTCATGACATTTCTTTCACAGGTTTCGGACAAACTCAAAGCTTGCAGTCCATGACTGTTAAAATCACAAATTACAAACACAGTGAACTGAGGCCATTTTGTATTGAGATTTCTACCTGTCCTACCCCATTCTTATGCCCAGTGTCAACATTACATTCTTATTTACAACTCTATCAGCATAAAACCGGCCCCCTCTTCCAGTTTTCGGACTCTTTACCGGTATCATACGCATGGTTTTGCCAAATGCTTCAATCGGTTCGCAGTTTCATTCAATTAGACCCCAATCTTTATAAAGGGCATGTTTTCGGATAGGTGCTGCTACATCAGCAGCTGCCAGAGGGGTTCCTGAACATATTATTCAGAAGATGGGCCGTTGGAATTCGGATGCTGTTAAAAACTATGTTCGCATAGGTTTACATTCATAAAAGCCGTCAGTTTTTGCTCTGTCTAACCTCTCCATCAGACAGCATTTATTTTTGTGGGTTGTTATTCCTGGTTATTTGACAGTATTCATGTTTATAATATGTCTTCTTTTTTTTTTTTTTTTTTCTTTCGTTGTTTGGTTCTTTGAGCACTCAACACTGGGGCCAGGATTTGCCTGCCCACTGATTATGACGGCATTATATTTAATGTATGATTTTTGTACATTGAGCCATTTCATAGATTGTGATTAACTGAGTAAGCTTGACATTTACACTATTATGGGGCCAGGATTTCCCTGTCCACTTGCATTTATTGGATACCATATATACATTGGTTTTTATTATATATATATTTTTAACTGATAATAACCATCGATTTCTGTAGTGGGGCCAGAATTTCCCTGTCCATATGATTATTTATGCTATCAGTCTGTTATTTGAAATACACCACTTTGATTGGAGCTGCAGCCTTGTACTTGCCGACAATTATTTCCTGTATGCTGTATTATGGGAAAGGACCTTAAGCCACTATAGTGAGGCCAGGATTTGCCTGCTCGCTGATTATGGTCCCTACCTAATCTTCCGCAAGCATTAGTTTTTGTTTTTCCTTTTGCTCCAGCATTGTTCGGAATGTACACGAATTATGCTTTTTTGTCCTATTCTTTATGTTTTATTCGTTTGTCCAAGATAACATTTTTACGTTCAGACCAACTTGCTTGGTCTTATAACTTTGTTTGAGAATCTCAGGATTTGTCTGCTATTTTTTTATTTGTCATTCAATTTATTTTCATTTCATGTTTTAATCGTGGTTATTTATTGATATATATTCATATTTAACACTGTCTCTAGGCTAAGATAACTACGCCAGTTCAGAGCCTTTGGATGGGGTGATGAGGTGCATTTTTCTACATATCCTGTATCCCTCCATACATATGTATCTGTGCGCCCCTCATCGGTGCCGATAATTTGTACCCCATCTTTTTGTTGTACATATAGACTGAAGTTAATGTCATTCAGATCTATATATTATATAACAACAGTGATTGATATCATGGTTGTATTTGAAATGTTCCTGTCATTTAATAAATGACCATTTGACAACATTTCTTTTCCCTGTTGTTGTTTTTTGTTTATAAGACATGTACAACACATAACAAGCTGCAGTCTCTGAGCTGGGTTACCGTGCTAACACAAATAAAATTTTTATTTCTCTATTATTTGAAATTAATACTTTAGACAATAAAGCCATTTGCAATCTTTTTTCACTATGGATTATGAACAATAGTTAGACAGCATGTGAAACCATTATGAATATCAATAGCTATCTGAAGAATCGTCTTGGTTAATATTTTTTATGTATTGACATTTTGCAACATGAAAAATAAAAAAAAATTAAAAAATAGAAATTTAGAAACTTAATAGATAAAACAATAAGGGTTTTGATATATAGGAGTCTGGTATACGGAGTGTGCAAAATGAAGTTTCAAGAGGTCTTGGACATTTTGGAAAGTTGATCAGCATGAAATAGTGTACAGTTGTAGACAGTTATAGAAACAATTTTTTAAAAGATAGTTTTAACGTCGCATATGTATTAACTAAAAAAATGTTATTTTTGGAAGAAAAATGGCGGAAACCTATAATCAAAATATAACATGAATTGGTGTGAACTTCGAGGTTAAGTTGTAGAATGAATGAGTTGCAAATCACATAAAACACGTGATGGATTATGAGAAGAATGGATTCCCATGATATTTCCAGAAGTTGGACAAGTCCCTCTCTTCTTAACTACTAGCGATTCTTTTCGGTGCACGCCATCTAGCGGTTCAGTGAATTGTATTATTTCATCCGATGAAGTTTAAAAATATCG